AACGTGCAGCCGGTCACCCGGCGGCCCAGGCGGGCGCCTGCTCCCCCGAGCACCCCGTCCCCCACCCCGAACTCTGCCCACCCGCCAGCCCAGAGGGGACAGCCTAAAACTGGGGCGCAAATGTCCCCTTCTGCTGCCAAGTGGGCAGGGGACACCCAGCTGCCGGACACTGGGCAGGACAGGACCCAGGCCAGGTGACAATGCTGGAGCTGGGGCCGGGCGCGGTGGCTCACGCCTGTGATCCCAGCACTCTGGGAGGCCGAGGCGGGAGGATCGCTCGAGGTCATAAGCTCGAAATCAGCCTGAGCAAGAGCGAGACCCCGTCTCTACTATAAATAGAAAGAAATTAATTGGCCAACTAAAAGTACATAGAAAAAATTAGCCGGGCGTGGTGGCGCGTGCCTGTAGTCCAGCTACCTGGAGGCTGAGGCAGGAGGATCGCTTGAGCCCAGGAGTCTGAGGTTGCTGTGAGCGAGGCTGACGCCACGGCACTCACTCTAGCCCGGGCAACAAAGCGAGACTCTTGTCTCAAAAAAAAAAAAAAATGCTGGTGCTGGGAACAGTGGACACTGGCTGGTCCGCTTGTTTTAAGAAAATCGAGGTGCTCAAGAGATTCAGGGGGAGGAGGATCCCAAGTTCAAGCCCAGCCTGGGCAAAAGAGCGAGACTCCCCACCCCCCATCTCCAAAAAATCTGAGGGTGGACGGGCCGGACCTGGAGACGCTCTCGGGACAGGAGCGCGTGGCCCTGGCCAACCGCAAGCGCGAGTGCGGCAACGCGCACTACCAGCGCGCCGACTTCGTGCTGGCCGCCAACTCCTACGACCTGGCCATCAAGGCCATCACCTCCAGCGCCAAAGGTGGGCGCCGGGCGGGCCGGGCCTCGCCACCCCCCCACCCCCCGCCCCCTCCCCCCAGAAGGCGCCGGAAACCTGGAGCCCCGGGGCCCTCCAGGGTGTCGCAGAAGGGTCCGGGTGTGGCACGGATGGCCTGGCCGCCCCCGACCCCCAGGCAGCGTCCGCTCCGGACGTGGGCCCGAGCCAGACCACGGAGACGTCCGCACGGGGGCACCCTGGACGGCTGTCGGTCCCCGTGCCCCTCCCCCGGGTCCAGGCCCTGGGTCCCGTGGGAGAGGTGGGGAAACTGAGGCCAGAGCGGCCTGGGGTCCAGCGGGGAGGAAGGCGGCCCCCCCGCAGAGGGGAGGCGCTGGCGGGCCGGGGCTCGGTGGCGGCTGAGCGCTGTCCCCTTCCCCCCGCCCCGCCCCGCAGTGGACATGAGCTTGGAGGAGGAGGAGCAGCTCCTGCAGCTGAAGGTGAAGTGCCTCAACAACCTGGCGGCCTCGCAGCTGAAGCTGGACCACTACCGCGCCGCGCTGCGCTCCTGCAGCCTGGTGCTCGAGCACCAGCCCGACAACATCAAGGCGCTCTTCCGCAAGGGCAAGGTGGGCGCCGGCCGCCGGGGCGCGCAGGGAGGGAGCCGCGCAGGCGCGGGAGGGGGGGTAGCCGGGATCCTGGCAAGTCGCCGGCCGGGGCCGAGCCCGGAGTCTCGGGTCCCCACCTCTGGCCCGCAGTGAACGCTCCTCGCATGTCGCCCTCCGTGGCTCCCGTCTCCCTCAGGGTAAAAAGCCAAGTCCCAGTCACTCACGCCCTGGGGGCGCCAGGCCGTCTGCTTGTCCCTCTCTCGCCCCACCCGTCCGGGCACACAGTGGGGCCGGGCACACAGTGGGTGCTCAGGCTGAATCGGCCTGCGTAGGCTTGGTCTCAACTGCTCTCACCCCGTTTTCGTTCGCCCTCACGGCCTGGTGAGGACCCGGGCGGGGGTCGGGCGGGGGTCAGGGGTCGGGCGGGGGTCAGGGGTCGGGCGGGGGTGGCAGCCGAGGACACCGAGGCACAAATGCCGGGTGCCCTGGCGTGTTTGTGAGAGGCCTGAGCACTTGGTCTCTCCAGTCAGCATTTATTAAGCACCTGTTGCGTGCAGAGTTCTTCAGAGATGGGAGCAAGAGGGTGCCGCCCTGTCTCTGAAGCCTCCGCAGTGCTCCTGGGGGCCGCAGGGCTGGGTGCTCGTGTGGCCTCGTGCGAGTTTGGACCTGCTGGTTCAAGGTGACAGAAGCCCACTCGGACAGGTTCAAGCGGGAAGAAGGGACTGGGGGCTCATCCAGGGGCCGAGTCCAGGGGATCTGGCTTCAGGCATGGCTGGATCCAGGCGTTGGCGACGTCACGGAGACCCTGTGTCTCTCTGCCGTGACCTCCCCTCTCGGGCAGGCATTTTCGGGTGGCTGCGGCGACCCACCTCACTCCGTCCCAGAAGCCCCAGATGCGTTCTTCCCTCTTGGCAAAGAGACTCAGGTCTCCCCGAGGTGCCGGCAAAGGCAGGCGGATCTCCCCGCCTGGCTGCGTCACTCGCCGACGGCGGCGAGCGGCCAGCGGCGGCCTCCCTAGGCGGCCGGGGCAGTGAGGTAGGGCCGGTGGAGGTGGGCGCCTGGACCTGCGGCGGGGCTGAGACAGACGCGTGGGAAGGCCACGTCGGGCGAGGGAGCCGTGGTGGGGCTCAGAGCAGCGCGGGACGCCGGAACCCGGGCTGTGCCGGAGCCGGGCCTGGGGCTGTGGCCTGTGCCGGGGCGCCTGCCCAGGGGCGCGAGCCAGCGTGGCCAGCGTGCGCGGCCGTTCCCCGCAGGTGCTGGCTCAGCAAGGCAGTACAGCGAGGCATCCCCATCCTGAGGGCCGCCGCGAGCTGGAACCTTCCAACAAGGTGAGCGGGGGGTGGCGGCCCGGGGCTTGCCCTTGCCGGCCTGTCTGGGAGTCCTCGCGCTTGCCCAGGCTGGCTTGCTGTGGCTCCCGGTGGTGCTTTACCGCCAGGAAGGCCCTGGCCCGGCTTGCCGAGCCCCGGTGACGGCCACCGGTGCTGGGCCGCCAGTGGCCCAGAGGCCGAGGACAGAGCCACGCTGACCAGCCCGGCGTCCTCCTTCCTCCGGGACCTCCGCCTCCGCGCCCTTGTGCCGGCCCGACTACCTGCCCTTCCCGGGGACGGGGTCATCCGGCAAAGCCGGGAAGGGGCAGGCAGCCCCGGGTTTCAGCAGTGCCGCGCCCGTGAGCAGGCCCCAGGAGGCAGAGCCGAGCTGTGACGGTCGCGGCGCGCTGCTGCTCTCGCCTGCCCGCCCTCCGCAGACGATCCACGCCGAGCTCTCGAGCTGGTGAGAAACAGCGGCTCAGCGGAGCTCGGAGACCGCCGTACCGGAAGATGCTGGGCAACCCAGCCGACTGCCGCCAGATGTGTCCCGGCTGGGCGCTGGGTGAGCCGCCGGCGCGGCGTGGATGAGCGGTCCCGGAAGCGGGGGCGGTCAGCAGAGGTTTTTGTCCGTTCTGCAAACACGGTGTCCTCGTTCGACTGGGCCGTGCCGAGCATTGAGGCATGCAGAGAGGCGCAGCCCCGTGTGGCCAGAGCCAGGCAGGAAGCTGGAGGCTCAGGTGGGAGTGGGAGCGTTCCGGGCAGAAGGACAGGTGTCTGAAGGAGGGTTTATTTGTTTGGTTCACGGTATGCAGTAGGAGTTTGCCGGGAGGCAGGAAGGAATGCTCAGGCAGTGATTTGCTGGGAGCCTGTTTGGGCCGTGTTGGGCAGCTGAGGCTCGGAGGCCAGTCTTAACCACCCTCTGGTCATCTCTCCTCTCCCCTTTTCCCCACAGTTATCCCGTTGGAAGGTGGCTGTTCGGTGGCGACTGCCGTTGCCCTGGGGCGTGGGCTCTCTCTGTGGTCATTGCTGCCAGGAACTGACTGCCCGGGTGGCTGCACCCCTCCGCACACCACGGACCCTGCCCCGCGCTCCCCGACTCCCAGCCCCTGCCCTCCCGGCTCGGCCCTCCCGGTGTGGAGCCAGGATGGGGGTCACGTTGGCGCCGTGAGCAGAGGTCTGAGGCCCTGTGGGAACTCGAGGTGCGGCGGCCCCACGCGCAGCCCCAGGGAGGCCTCACCTGCAGACCCTGCGCCTCCCGCGCCCACCCGCCTGGGGTCAGGTCTCGGCCAGGGCCAGCCTCAGTTTCTCCTTCTCAGCAGGCCTGGGGGCCGCCCTCCCTGCCTAGTCCCGCCTGAGTGCCCAGCCCTCCGCCCGGCCTGCACACCCGCTGTCCACCCTCCCCTGGCCCCCGCCCCGTGAAATAAAGCCTCCTCCCTGCACACCGCGGCTCTGAGCCTCATTCCGTCGTTGCCACGGCGGCGGCCGGGGTTTCCTCTCTGGGCCTGGCTGTACACGGGGAAACCGAGGCAGGAAAGCGGGTAACCCTGCGTTTTGCCTCTCGTACCACGCGGTGCCTCAGCCAAGGCCCGGGAGGCCGGCAGACCCCAGCGGAAGACCGCTGCCGCCCGTGGGGGCAGGGCGCGGGGGCAGGAGGCGGCTTGCGAAGGGGGTGTCCCCTCTCGGGGATGCTGTGGGCCAGGGGACCTCCTCGGCCGGGGGTCTGTGGCGTCACGGCCAGTGCAAAGGCCCCGGCAGGACGAGCCCGGTGTGCGTCCAGCCTTGAGAGGCGTGGGGTGGGGACGGCTCTGCCTGGAGGCACGGCCCGGTCAGGGTGACTCAGTGCCCCGGGTCCCCCACAGCCCCGGCCTCCCGTTAGTGCTGGTCCCCCCACAGCCCCCGGCTCCGTTAGTGCCGTCCCCACAGCCCCGGCCTCCCGTAGTGCCGTCCCCCACAACCCGGCCTCCCGTTAGTGTGTCCCCCACACCCGGCTCCCATTAGTGCTGTCCCCCCACAGGCCCCGGCTCCCTTTAGTGCTGTCCCCCCACAACCGGGCCTCCCGTTAGTGTTAGGTCCAGGAGCGGCAGGGCCAGCAGTGGGGCCTCCCTCCCGCCGTCCACTCCTGCCTCCTAGAACGAGGGTGTCCCGGCAGACAAGCGCCGCTGACCATCGGGCCCTCACCTTCCCCGGATAACCTGGGAGGGGAGCCGCCCGCCGCCACGTTGGCCCGGAGCCGGAACCTGTGCCTTCCCCGCTCCCAGGCCCTTGCTCTCTGGCCACCCAGGCGACCACGCTCAGGACACGAGGCCGCACGTGGCTCGGGTCTGTCTCCTCTCCAGCGGTCCAGCCCCTGTGGCTGCTCGCCGACGCCCCACACTTCTTTCCATGCCGTTCTCGGGGTCCCGTCCAGAGCCACCGGTAATCAAACGGGAAGTGCAGAGACGGCCTGTGACCAAGCATGGTTAACCTCTCTGAATCTCCCCTCCCCTCAGCCCTCCCAGGCCTCAGTTTCCTCATCTGGCAGATGGGTCCAAACCACCACATCCACGCCAGTGGGCAAGCCAAGGTGCCACGAGCCCGGGGCACGTTAAGTGCTCAGTGCTGGGTAGCTGCTCTTATTGCTGTCGCTCGTCTCCCAGGCAAATCCACAGAGGCTCAGAGAGACATGCTGCCTTTCCCAAAGTCACACAGCGAGCCGGTCGGCCCTCAAGCCGGATCCTCCCACGTGGTCCTCCGGTGGGCAGCCTCGCTGTCTCCACCCTTCTCTCTTCTTCTTCTTCTTTTTTTTTTTGAGACAGAGTCTCACTCTGTTGCCCAGGCTAGAGTGAGTGCCGTGGCGTCAGCCTCGCTCACAGCAACCTCACAACTCTGGGCTCAAGCCATCCTCCTGCCTCAGCCTCCCGAGTAGCTGGGACTACAGGCATGCGCCACCATGCCCGGCTCATTTTTTCTATATGTATATTAGTTGGCCGATTAATTTCTTTCTATTTATAGTAGAGACGGGGTCTCGCTCTTGCTCAGGCTGGTCTCAAACTCCTGACCTCGAGCGATCCTCCCGCCTCGGCCTCCCAGAGTGCTGGGATGACAGGCGCGAGCCACCCCGCCCGGCCCACCCTTCTCTTCTTACTTCAGATCTTCCAAGCCCCAGCTGCCTTTTTTTTTCTGCCCTTCCGTGACCCTCCTGAGCACTGCAGCCCTGTGGCTTCAGTATTTACTGGCCCAGCCTCCCCGATCAACAGCTGGCACGGCACAGACAGTGGGCGGCCCGGCCAGTGTGGACGGGCAAGCACTACGGCGTTCTCCCTGTAGGACCAGCTGATCCCAGTGAAGGGTCAAGATCTAGCTCTTTGGCTCAGAGTGCAGACAGGCTGGAGTTGTCTCTGCAGCAATGCATGAGATCTTGCCTCAGTTTCCTCATCTGCAAAGTGGGCTGATGGCTAAGTTGTGGGCACTAAAGGAAATCATTCATTCAACACATATTTGCTGCCAGGCCGTGTGTTGGGGTGTTCAGTGAGAAAACATTCAGAAATCCCTTTCTGGACCCAGGTACTGGAGGCGTGGTGGAGGGCAATCAGGATGGCTCTGGCCGGGCGTGAAGTGGCTCACGCCTGTAATCCTACCACTCTGGGAGATGGAGGCAGGAGGATCGCTTGAGGTCAGGAGTTCAAGACCAGCCTGAGCAAGAGTGAGACCCCCATCTCTACTAAAAATATAAAAAATTAGCCAGGCGTGGTGGTACATGAGTCCGGAGGCTCACTTGAGCCCAGGAGTTTTGAGTTTACAGTGAGCTACGATGACGCCACTGCACTCCAGCCAGGGCAACAGAGAGACTCTGTCTCAAAAAAGAAAAGAAAAGAAAAAGAAAAAGGTTAAATGTAGAATCACGATAAGACCCAGTACTTCCACTCTTAGGTATACAGTAAGTCTTCTCTTAGTGTCATTTATAGGTTCTTGGAAACTGTGACGTTAAGGGAAAACGCTGTATAGCCGTGCCTGCCTCTCATGTTGAACATGGAAATAAATGTGAGCTATACATACATTTGAGAAAGATTTATATAAAACCAAGTGGGATAACTATTTACTCAATCATGACAGTGCAGGCCCAGAGCTATTCAGGGTGGCCCGAGCTATGTTGGTGGCTCAGGGGTGGAAGGTAGCCTGGAGAAATCCCACACAGACTGGGGAAGAACATGCACACTCCACCGGGGCAGCGGCCCTGGCTGGAAATTGGTTCCCACCCCCGTCGGCGTTATAACGAAACAACATTATCTGAGGATCTCCTGCTGTATACCCGAGAAGGGAAAACACCCGTCTGCACAAAAACGTGTACGTGAATGTCAGCACAGGTACTATTCATAATGGTGAAAAAGGGGCAGCACCCAAACACCCGTCAACAGAGGAGTGGGTAAACAAAATATGAAATATTATGCAGCCATGAAAAGGAACGAAGCGCTGGTAACGACTTGATGCACTTTGAGAACATTGTACCCAGTGGAAGAAGGCAGACACAGAAGGCCACTCGATGTACGATTCCACTTGCATGAAACAGAGCAGGCAAATCCCCAGAGACAGGAAAGTTCTCCGCGGCTGGGGAGGGGAGTGGGCGTGACTGCAAATGGGGACTGGATTTACCTTTAGGGGTGATGGGAATGTTCTAGAATCACCGCAGCCCGTGGCAGCGGTTGCACAGCATTGTGAATGCGCCAAATACTACTGAACAGCTTAAATTAAGTAGGGGAATTTTACATGCAAATTATAACCCAGAAAAGTTTTGTTTTTTTTTTTAAAAAATGGAGCTGGACTCTACCATCGCTCTGGGCCTGTGGGGATGTGGGATTTTATTGTTAAAATTCTGCTTATATGATAAGCAAAGTTTACAGGCTCCTCCTCCACCTACCGGCCTCCTTAAGGGAAGCCCGCTCTGCTAACCCAGCGTCCAACGCGCGCGTCGTTTACATAGCCACGCCCACTAGCCCTGTCAGCTGTGAGCCCCCCCTCCCCACGTGTTTTGCGCCGGCCCCGCCCGCTCCACGCTCTCGCCGGGGCCCTCAACGGTAGCCAAACACGGAAGGCTCGAGCGAGCTCATAAATAATGCATCACGTCAGCGGCCTGGGGGCGGGGCTTCGGTGCGCCCGGCTGAGTCAGGATCATGCATAATCCACGTGGAGGCGGGGCCTGGAGAGGTGCGCGTGTGGAGGCGGAGTTCGCGCACGGAAGTGGCCGCCCCCCGGGGCCCGGAGGGGCGGGGCTCCCCGCGCCTTATGAATATGCAGGACGTCAGGGAACGGACGGCGCGCCCAGTGCGGGGCCCGCAGGGGGCGTGGCCAGCCGCGGCTCATGAATAATGCGGCACGTGGGTAAGCGGCGCGCCGGCGACTGTTGGCACCGCGGGGCTCGCAGGGGGCGTGGCCGCCGGCGTCTTATGAATAATGCAGCGCGTCAGCCGGCGCCGGCGCCGGGGCCGGGACGGGGGGCGGGGGAGCGACGGGCGCAAGATGGCGGCGCTGAAGGAGGCTCGGAGCTACGGGCTGTCGTGCGGGCGCGTGAGCGACGGCAGCAAGGTGTCGTGTTCCACGTGAAGCTCACCGACAGTGCCCTGAGGGCCTTCGAGAGCTACCGCGCCAGCCAGGTGAGCGGGCCCAGGCCCGGCGCGGCGGGCGGGACGCGGGCCGGCCTCGCGCCCCTCGCCGCGGCGCCGGGGCGCGGGTCCGGGGCGCCGCTCGCGGTCCCGGGGCCCGGCGGGGCCGGCGGGGCGGGCGGCCGTCCGCCCGGAGCGCGGCGGACCCACTCCTTCTCGGCGCCGGAGGCCACACCGCGCGGGGGCGGCCGGGCTGCTGAGGGGCCCGGACTTTGCGCCCTGACGGCGAGCGCGCCGCGAGCGGCGGCTCCCGGACGTCGGGGCTTCTCCGGGCCGCCCGCACCGGGCGGGGACTGGCCTGCGCACCTGGCGGCGCGGCGTGGGGCGCGTGGGGTCGGGGCGAGCTTAGGGGCTTCACCTGGGCCTGGGACAGGCACTCGATGCGGTGCCTGTGTTCCCTCTCCTGGAAGCGGCTCTTCTGCCTGGGTCCCTTGCAGGGTGGGTCAGCAGGGCACTGTGGTCGGGCACCTGCGGGGGGCCTGTTTGGTGCGGGTGGGGGCTGTCTCTGCCCACTGGGGGCCGGCTTCGGTGCTTTCCGTGAATTCTCAGGTGGGCTCACTCTCTTGATTCTCGGTTGGGTGGGGAGTCTGGGCAGACACTGACAGCCTGCTCCCTGCGCCCCCTCCCTGGTGGACCCGTCTCGGTGCACACCTCTGGGGAGTGGAAGCGTTGGGGGGGGGAAGGCTGCGGTGTTTTCCGAAAGGCATATGTGGGGGATCCCTGGGCATCGTGGACACCCGGGCCTCATGCTTGCGTTTACTTGTCTTGCCCAGTGGAAATCAAGTCAAGAGTCCAGCAGCCCAAGGTGCAGTGCCAGAACTCTCCCGGGTGTCCCGAGCCCAGGGAT